TTAGCTGGGCATGGTGGTGCATGTCTGTAATCCCAGCTACTTGGGAGGCTCAGGTGGGAGAATCGCTTGAACCTGGGAGGCGGAGGTTGCAGTGAGCCGAGACCATGCCACTGCACTCTGGCCTGGGTAACAGAGTGAGACCCTGTCTCAAAATAAAAAATGCACACAAAGTCTTGCTCAGTGTCCCGCTGTGAGGAATTGAGCCTGGCAGACACAGTGGGCAACAATGTGAACAGGAGTGTTCTTTGCAGCCTCATTTGTGATATCAATGAAACTAAGGGAGGGAGATTGTCCGTTCACGGTGGGCTGCTTTTAGGAATTATACATCCAGACAGGTGAACACTTCCGTAGGCAGATTTATGGGAATAGAGGACTGAGGTCTGGGCTGAGACAAGAAAGAGAAGGGAGCATCTGGTCATTCAATCAACCAATATTTATTGAGCACTTTTTATGTGTCAGATACTCCTCTAGGCTCTGGGGACAGGAATGAAGGAAACATACTGTTCTGGAGGGCAAGCCAGACAGATGTGAAAAGCAAATGCTACAGTAAGGAGAAAAAGAGCGAAGAAAACGGATGTCCGCTGGAGGAATATACAATTTTATTTATTATTTATTTTATTATTATTATTTTTTGAGATGGAGTTTCGCTCTTGTTACCCAGGCTGGAGTGCAATGGCGCAATCTCGGCTCACCACAACCTCCGCCTCCTGGGTTCAGGCGATTCTCCTGCCTTAGCCTCCTGAGTAGCTGGGATTACAGGCACGCGCCACCATGCCCAGCTAATGTTTTGTATTTTTAATAGAGACGGGGTTTCACCATGTTGACCAGGATGGTCTCGATCTCTTGACCTCGTGATCCAGCTGCCTCGGCCTCCCAAAGTGCTGGGATTACAGGCTTGAGCCACCGCGCCTGGCCCTATTATTATTTTTTCAAAGATGGGGTTTCACCATGATGGTCAGGCTGGTCTTGAACTCCTGACATCAGGTGATCCACCCACCTTGGCCTCCCAAAATGCTATGATTACAGGCATGAGCCACCGCGCCCGGCCTATTATTTATTTTAGAAACAAGGTCTAGTCCTGTCACCCAGGCTGGAGTGCAGTGGCATGATCGTATCTCGCTGCAGCCTCAGTCTCCTGAGTTAAAGGGATCCTCCCACTTCAACCTCCTGAGTAGCTGGGACCATAGGCGCACTTTACCATGCCCAGCTAATTTTTCAACTTCTTTTCTTTTCTTTTTGAGATAGAGTCTTGCTCTGTCACCCAGACTGGAGTGCAATGGCGCAATCTCAGCTCACTCCATCCTCCGCCTCCTGGGTTCAAGTGATTCTCCTGCCTCAGCCTCCTGAGTAGCTGGGATTACAGGCACACACCACCACCCCCGGCTAATGTTTGTATTTTTAGTAGAGACAGGGTTTCACCATGTTGGCCAGGCTGGTCTCAAACTCCTGACCTCAAGTGATCCACCTGCCTCAGCCTCCCAAACTGCTGGGATTACAGCTGTGAGCCACCAGTATCCAGCCAATTTTTAAATTTTTTATAGAAATGGGGTCTCACTATGTTGCCCAAGCTGGTCTTGAACTCTTGGGCTCAAGCAATCCTCTGGCCTTGGTCTCCCAAAGTACTGGGATTATACGTGTGAGCCACTGCGCCTGTCTTCATCTTCTTTCCTGAACTTGCTCTCCTGTCATCTTGTCTACCTTGGTTAATGACACTTCTGTCCTCTGCCTTCACCCACCACAGCCTGCCTCTGATAACCTAAGCTCAAAGGCCAGGGATCCCGGATTTAAACCTTCCCTTTCCCTCCATCACCTACCAAATCCGATGCTTCTTCCCTACTCCTCAAATCCATCCACTACTTCCTCTGCTCCTCAGAGAGAAGTTTTTTCTTCATTCGCTCTGCTGTGGGGGCCAAAATAGGAGCCCCTCTCCTGCTTCTCAAGAGGCTGAGGCAGGAGGAAGGATCACTTGAGGCCAGGAGTTCGAGGTCAGCCTGAGAAACATGGAGAAACCCTGTCTCTACTAAAAATACAAAAATTAGCCAGATGTAGAGATGAAACCCCATCTGGGATCCCATGGTCCCAGCTATTAGGGCCCTATATAGGGCCCCAAAACCCCATTTTGGGGGCCTATGGTCCCGGATATTAGGGAGGCTGAGGTAGGAGGATCACTTAAGCTGGGGAGGTCGAGGCTGCAGTGAGCTGTGTTCACGCCACTGCTCTCCAGCCTCAGTGACAGAGACCTCAGACAGGGAGAGGGAGGTGCCAGATATATTTGGGTTCCCTTGTGGACAAGAGTCCCTCCACCCAAAATAAGAACATTCACATGTGTTGACTCTGTGCCAGCTGCTGTTTTAAACATTTTTGATACTAAACTTGCAACAAGGCTAGGAGGAGGGTATTATTATCATTCCCACTTAATACAGGAAACTGAAGCACTGAGAGGTCAAGTAGCTTGCCCAAGGTCACACAGCTAGCAGGTGGCTATCTGAGAGATGAATCCAGGCAGTCTGGCTCTCTAGTCTGTGCTCAGCTAATGGGTGTCTGCTCTGCATGCCCTATTTATTTATTTATTTATTTGATGGAGCCTCTCTCTTTTTGCCCAGGCTGGACTGCAGTGTTGTGATCTCACTGCAACCTCTGCCTCCTCTGTTCCAGTGATTCTCCTGCCTCAGCTTCTCGAGTAGCTAGGATTACAAGTACACACCATCAGGCCCGGCTAATTTTGTCTTTTTGGTAGAGACGGGGTTTCACCATGTTGATCGGGCTGGTCTCAAACTCCTAACCTCAGGCAATCTGCCCACCTCGGCCTCCCAATATTTATTTATTTTTGAGATGGAGTCTCATTCTGTCACCCTGGCTGGAGTACAGAGATGTGATCTTGGCTCACTGCAACCTCCACCTCCCAGGTTCAAGCGATTCTCCTGCCTCAGTCTCCCGAGTAGCTGAGATTACAGGAACCTGCCTCCAAGCCCAGCTAATTTTTATATTTTTAGTAAAGATGAGGTTTCACCATGTTGGCCAGGCTGGTCTCTAACTCCTGACCTCAAGTGATCCACCTGCCTTGGCCTCCCAAAGTGCTGGCATTACAGGCGTCAGCCACTGCACCTGGGCATATGTGCCCAACTTTCTAAAATGTTGACTCAAATTTGTCTGAAACCATGGAGGCAAAATGAAGTAGGTCTATGAGCCAGATTCGGTCCATAAGCCACTAGTTTGCCTCCTACTGGGTTACAGAATTTCCCTTCTTCACATAAGTCACAGGAGAATAGAGGGAGAGTATTTTTTTGCACTGACCTGGGGCCTGTTCCTTTGGGTTCTCTCTGATCTCTTTATTTCTGAAGTTTGTAACCCCAGAAGCCCTGATTTCTTCTATAATCTGAAAAAAATCCCCCAACTCCCCCCATTATACCAACTCAGATTATTTTTTTCTTCTATTGAGATCTGCTGGCTCCTAGTTCTGAGCTGACTTATCCTCACAGAGGGTTCTCACGCTTCAGAAGCAGAAAGAGGCCAGGTGCGGTGGCTCACACCTATAATCCCAGCACTTTGGGAGGCTGAGGTGGGTGGATCACCTGAGATCAGGAGTTCAAGACCAGCCTGGTCAACATAGTGAAATCTCATCTCTATGAAAAATAAAAACAAAATTAGCTGGGCATGGTGGCGCATGCCTGTAGTCCCAGCTACTTGGGAGGCTGAGGTAGGAGGATCACCCGAACTGAACCCAGGAGATAGAAATTGCAGTGAGCCGAGATCAAGCCACTATACTCCAGCCTGCGCAACACAGCGAGACTGTCTCAAAAAAAAAAAAAAAAAAGTTTTAAAAGGCCCAATTTGCCCCTGACCTTCTCTTTCCTGGTTCTAGGAATTCTAGCAAGAAATTCTTTCTAGGAAGAAGGATTCCCTCCTGTGGTTTTAGGACCCAGCTGCCTCATTCTTTGCAAGGATCACTCACACTCAAGTATGGACAAGCCCCTTTCTAAAAGAAGTCCTCACTGCGGGCAAGGCCAGGGCAGTGCAGCTGCATGAACCGGTCATGGGTATTGTCCTGCTGAGGGCAGGGACTGGATCACAGACCCCTCCTACCTGCTTTATGTCCGAGACCAGGAACCAAGGAACTGTCTCATACAGTTACTGAGCTGGTTGCTGCCCCTTGTCTAATATGCTCCCCTCTCCTGCGTTCAGAAGTTTGGGCTCTGGGTAGCAAAACTGAAGACAGCTCCTCTTTAGAGATCTTTAGCGATACTAAAACCAGCAGACAAGATGCTGCCATACTCCGACCCCACCTCAGGGCCTTTTCCTCTTTGCTCTTCGGGGAATCCTCTTCCCAAGCATGGTCCTGTGGCTGGCTCCCAAACGTCAGACCTCTCAGAGAGGTCTTCCCTTGATTAAAATTAGCTCCTCTGCAGTCTTTAACTCCACATAATCTCATCAACTTGTTTTTGCTTGTCTGTTTTTTGAGACAGGGTCTCACTCTGTTGCCCAGGCTGGAGCGCAGTGTCGTGATCAGGGCTCACTGCAGCCTCAACCTCTGCCTATCAATCGATCCTCCTGCCTCAGTCTTCTGAGTGGCTGGGACCACAAGCGCACGCCACCAGGCCCGGCTAATTTTTATTTTTATTTTTTATTTTTGTAGAGACGGGGGCGGGGTCTTGCTATGTTACCCAGGTTGGGCTCGAACTCCTGGCTTCAAGCGATCCTCCCACCTTGGCCTCCCAAAGCGCTGAAATTACATGTGTAAGCTACCATGCCCGGCTCACGGCTTGCTTTATTGTCTGAATCGCGTTTACCTCTCTACAAAAGCGGTGTCATCGTCTTTCGCTCTAGAGTGCAAGTCCTCTTCCTTCCCTGGTTCCAGAATTCCCTTCTCCGCGCGGTTCCGCTTGGCAAAGCGCGGGCACCCGCGCCCTCCTCAGGTACGGCGGTGCTTGCGGCCGCCCCGGCCTCCCCCTGGCTGCAAAGAGGCGCTACTGCCTTACGAGCAAAACAAACACAGACACTTCTTTGGACCTGACACGCTTTACTCCGGAGGGCTGGAGCGGAGGGCGGTCCGCTGAGGGGCGTGATCAGGTTGGGCGGAGCCTTGGGGGCCGAGTCCGCCGCTGGGCGGGACCCAAGGGGAACGGCCAGTGAGGAAGTTGGGCAAGTTCCAGAATCAGGGGGCGTGGCTGTATCCGGGGTGGGCGGGGAATCCTTTGGGGCGGACGGTGGGCGGGGCTTACATGCCGGGCACCACCCCGTCAGTCTCCCTGTTGGTGAGATTGCCCCGCAGGTTCTGCTCCTCCTCAATAGCCTTGAACAGTGAGTTGAAGTTACCGGCACCAAAACCCTGGGGTGAGAAAGGAGGTGAGCCAGGGACCCAGAAAACCGAGTGTGCTAGCTGCCTGTCCCCTCGGGCCTGCGGGGTACAGGAGGTACCTGGTGGTTGTGGCGCTGGATGACTTCCAGGAAGAGCGTGGGCCGGTCCTGCACGGGTTTGGTGAAGATCTGCAGGAGGTAGCCTTTCTCGTCGAAGTCCACCAGGATTTTCAGCTCCTAGGCGGGAGATAGGGGGCTCTGCTAGGGGAGGCTGGCTCACCCTCTGTCCTGGCACGGTGAGATCCTTGGAAAGCCTACAGGGGCTCCTGCACCCCAAAAGCCCGGAAATGACCTCTTTTTCCGGTAGTCCCAGCCACCTCCAAATATATACTCAAACTGTCCTATTACCACTCCCCTACTACAGTTTCTTAGGCAGTTTCTGCCTAAGCCACCATTCAAGACTGCTCTCTGCTTCTAATCTTGTCTCCTTACAATCCATCCTCCCCGCAGACATTAGCGGGATCTTTTAAGAATCGGTTCATGTCACTCACCTGTTTGAAATCCTCCAGTGGAAATCAAAACCTCATCTATTGCTGATGGGACTGTAAAATGGTGCAACCACGTTGGAAAACAGTCTGGCAGCTTCTCAAAAAGTTAAACATATAGTGTTGCTTTCCTTAAAATACAGATTAAAAAAAAAAAAGAGTGGCCGGGCAAGGTGGCTCACACTTGTAATCCCAGCACTTTGGGAGGCCAAGGAGGGTAGATCACCGGAGCTCAGTTGGAGACTAGCCTGGCCAACATGGGGAAACCTGGTCTCTACTAAAAATACAAAAAATGTGGCTCATGTCTGTAATCCCAGCACTCTGGGAGGCTGAGGTGAGCAAATCACCTGAGGTCAGGAGTTCAAGACCACCTGGCCAACATGGTGAAACCCTGTCTCTACTAAAAATACAAAAAAAAAAAAATTAGCTGGGAATGGTGGCACATGCCTGTGATCCCAGCTACTTGGGAGGCTGAGGCAGGAGAATCGCTTGAACCCAGGAGGCAGAGGTTGCAGTGAGCCAAGATTGGCCACCACACTGCAGCCTGGGCAACAACGCAAGACTCCATCTCAAAAAAAAAAAAAGTTAGTTCGGCATGGTGGCCAGCTACAGGCGGAGGTTGCAGTGAGCCGAGATCACACCACTGCACTCCAGCTTGGGAAACAAAGCAAGACTGTCTCTCAAAACAAACAAACAAACAAACAAACAAAAGGGAACATGGAATTAATATGTGACCTAGCTACTCCCAGATATATACCAAAGTGCATTGAAAACATGTCCACACAGAGCCTTTACACAGATGTTCACAGTAGCATTACTGATAACCCCCAAAAGTGGAAATAACCCAAACATCCATCAACAAGGAATAGATAAAGTGTGGGCTATATTTACAATGGGATATTTTTCGGTCATAAAAAGGAAGGAAGCAGTGACACACGCTCCAACGCAGATGAACCTTGAACACACAATGCTGTGGGAAAGAAGCTGGTCACAACAGGCCTATTTTGTGATGAAATGTCCAGAATAGGCAAATCTATAAAGACTGAAGGTAGATTAGTGATTGTCTAGGGCTGGGTTGGGAGTGGAGAAGGGAACAAAAATGTTCCAAAATTGATTTTTTGCCCAGGCTGGAATGCAGTAGCCCAATCATGGCTCACTGCAGCTTCGACCTCCTGGCTTCAAGTGATCCTCTCACCTCACCCTCCTGAGTAGCTGGGATTACAGACACAAATTACTATGCCTAGCTTATTTTATCTTTTTTTTGAGATGGAGTCTTGTCCTGTCACCTGGGCTAGAGTGCAATGGCTCGATCTTGGCTCACTGCAACCTCCTCCTCCCGGTTCAAGCAATTCTGCCTCAACCTCCTGAGTAGTTTGGACTACAGGCATGTGGCACCATGCCTGGCTGATTTTTTTGTATTTTTAGTAGAGACAGGGTTTCACCATGTTAGCCAGGATGGTCTCCTAACTTCATGATCTGCCCGCCTCAGCCTCCCAAAGTGCTGGGATTATAGGCATAAACCACCATGCTGGTGCAGGAGACCCACCACGCCCAGCCCGACCCACTAATTTTTTAAAACTATTTTTTTGTAGAGACAAGGTCTCCCTATGTTGCTCAGGCTGGTCTTAAACTCCTGGCCTTAAGCAATTCTCTCACCTCAACCTCCCAAAATGCTGGAATTACAGAGGTAAGCCACTGTGTGTAACATGTTTTTGTTTTTCTTTAGACAGGGCCTTGCCCAGGCTGGAGTGCAGTGGCCTAATCATGGCTCACTATAGCCTCTACCTCCTGAGTTCAAGTGATTTTCCCACCTCAGCCTCCCCAGTAGCTGGGACCACAGACACAGATCACCACGCCCAACTATTTTTTTTTTCTTTTTGTAGAGATGGGGTTTCACCATATTGACCAGGCTCGTCTCAAACTCCTGGCCTCAAGTGATCCACCTGCCTCAGCCTCCCAAAGTGCTGGGATTACAGACAGGAGCCACCACACCCAGTCCTAAATGGATTTTGATGATAGTTACACAACATAGCAAATAGCTAAAAACTATAGAATTGTACACTTTAAAAAGATGAAATGGGCCGGGCGCAGTGGCTCAAGTCTGTAATCCCAGCACTTTGGGAGGCTGAGGCAGGTGGATCACGAGGTCAAGAGATCGAGACCATCCTGGTCAACATGGTGAAACCCCGTCTCTACTAAAAATACAAAAAAATTAGCTGGGCATAGTGGTGTGTGCCTGTAATCCCAGCTACTCAGGAGGCTGAGGCAGGAGAATTGCCTGAACCCAGGAGGCAGAGGTTGTGGTGAGCCGAGATCACGCCATTGCACTCCAGCCTGGGCAACAAGAGCAAAACTCCGTCTCAAAAAAAAATGAGATGACATGTTATGTGACATTTATCAATAACACTGTTAAAACCAAACCAAAAAAAACACCTCCAGTGATTTCTGGCCACAAAAGAACAAAATCCAGACTCCTGAATAATAGCTCACAAGAGGAACTGGCTCTTGTTTACCTGTCTCACCTGGGTCACCGCTCAAAAACAACCTCCTATCCACTCTAGCCTATTCTTTCTTTCTTCTTTTTTTCCTGAGACAGAGTTTCACTTTTTCACCCAGGCTGAAGTGCAGTGATGCAATCTTGGCTCACTGCATTCTCTTTCTTCCTGTTCAAGCAGTTCTCTTGCCTCAGCTTCCCAAGTAGGTGGGATTACAGGCACCCACCACCATGCCCAGCTAATTTTTTTGTATTTTTAGTAGAGATGGGGTTTCACCATGTTGACCAGGCTGGTCTCGAACCCCTGACCTCATGATCCGCCCACTGTGGCCTCCCCAAGTGCTGGGATTAGAGGCGTGAACCACCATACCTGGCTCTAGTTTATTCTTTCTGTTCTGCAGACACTCGGGGCTTGCTCCTACCTTTCCCTTGCTGTTCCCTCTGCTAGGAATGCCCTTTTCCCGCTGTCACATGGCCAACTCCTGCTCATGATCTAGAGTTCACTCAAATGTCACCTCCTCAGAGAGGTCCTCCCTGACCACTCTCTGTAAAGTAGCTCCAGGCTGTCTGTTTTAATTTCCTGCACTGGTTGTATTTCTCTGATGGTGCTTTTTTTTTTTGAGATGGAGTCTTGCTCTGTTGCCCAGGCTGGAGTACAGTGGCACAATCTTGGCTCACTGCAAGCTCCACCTCCTGGGTTCAAGTGATTCTCCTGCCTCAGCCTCCTAAGTAGCTGGGATTACAGATGCCCACCACCACGCCCACTAATTTTTGTATTTTTAGTAGAGATGGGGTTTCGTCTTGTTGGCCAGGATGGTCTCGATTTCGTTACCTCGTGATGATCCACCTGCCTCGGCCTCCCAAAGTGCTGGGATTACAGGCGTGAGCCACCGCGCCCGGCCTCTGATACTGCTTTTATTGTTTGTTTGTCCTCTGTCTGTTCTTCCTGCATACACCCCAGAATAAATGTCCCCTGCTGGCAGGGACTTTGTCTGGGCTCCCCTCTGGGCTTAGACAATATTTTTGTAAAGATGGAACTCAGAGCACTTCCCACAAGGCTGCGGATCCTGCCTGAACCTCACCTCCAGGACATCAATGCTCTCCTTCACCTTGATCTTGGCCACCTTTAGCTTCTCCCGCAGTTGCTTGTAGTACGTGGAGGGAACAGATAAGAATTCCAAGCCTCTCTCTCGCAAGTGGCGAATCTGTTTCAGAGCAAAGTTGGGGTCAGCCTTTGGGCTCCAGGTTCAACTCCCCTAGCCAGGTGGAGGTGCTGGGCCATCAGAAGGCGGGGTCCCTATCCTAGCTTCCCCCAACTCCAGGATGCTGTGTGGCCTCTTCCCCTTTCTCTGTCATGAGCCCTGTTAGAACAACACTGCTGGGCCGGGCGCGGTGGCTCACGCCTGTAATCCCAGCACTTTGGGAGGCCAAGGCGGATGGATCACGAGGTCAAGAGATTGAGACCATCCTGGTCAACATGGTGAAACCCCGTCTCTGCTAAAAATACAAAAAATTAGCTGGGCATGGTGGCACGTGCCTGTAATCCCAGCTACTCAGGAGGCTGAGGCAGGAGAATTGCCTGAACCTGGGAGGCGGAGGTTGCGGTGAGCTGAGATCGTGCCATTGCACTCCAGCCTGGGTAACAAGAGCGAAACTCCGTCTCAAAAACAACAACAACAACAAACACTGCTAGATTTATAGAACACTCACCATGTGCCTGCCTTGAGCACTTTTTTTTTTGGAGACGGAGTCTCACTGTTGCCAGGCTGGAGTGCAGTGGTGCCATCTTGGCTCACTGCAACCTCCGCCTCCCGGGTTCAAGTGATTCTCCTGCCTCAGCTTCCTGAGTAGGTGGGATTACAAGCGAGCACCACCACACCCAGCTAATTTTTGTATTTTTAGTAGAGACAGGGTTTCACCACATTGGCATGGTCTTGATCTCTTGACCTCATGATCTGCCCACCTCAGCCTCCCAAAGTGCTGGGATTACAGGCGTGAACCACTGCGCCTGGCCGAGCTCTTTCTACATATTTCCTCATTATATCCATGCAGCAATCTTTTGAGGCAGCTGGAGGATTATTCTCCCATTCAATAGCTGGGGAAACTGAGGCATCAAGAGATTAAGGATAATTAGGCTGGGTGCAGTGGCTCATGCCTGTAAATCCCAGCATTTTGGGAGGCCAAGGTGGGCAGATCACTTGACCTCAGGAGTTTGAGACCATCCTGGCCAACATGGTGATACCCCATCTCTACTAAAAATACAAAAAAAAATTAACCAGGCATGGGTTCGTGTGCCTGTAATCCCAGCTACTCGGGAGGCTGAGGCAGGAGAATTGCTTGAACTCAGGAAGTTGCAGTGAGCCAAAATCGAGCCACTGCACTCCAGCCTGGGGGTCAGAGCAAGACTCCATCTCAAAAAAAAGGGATCTATTAATATATATATATTTTTTGAGACAGGGTCCTGCTCTGTCACCCAGGCTGGAGTGCAGTGGCACAATCATAGCTCACTGCAGCCTCAACCTTCCCAGGCTCAGGTAATCTTCCTACCTCAACCTCCAGAGTAACTAAAATCACATGTGTTCACCACCACATCTGGCTAATTTTTTGAGTTTTTGTAAAGATGAGGTCTTGCTATTTGCCCAGGTTGGTCTCAAACTTCTGAGCCTAAGCAGTCCTCCCACCTCGGCCTCCCAAAGTGCCTGACCCCCCAGTTTAAATGTGCAATGTCCTTCACCCTTGCTGTCCCAATTCCCTGCTTTACTTTCTTCCTGGGTGCTCTCTACCATCTAGCATTTGTATTTTACTTATTTTTTTAATGCTCCACAAGGGCAGAAACGGTTATTTATGGATGTATCCTAAGTACCTCTGACAGTGCCTGGCATGTAGTAGATACTCAATAAACATCTGTTGAGTGAATGGACAAATGAAGGTGCTAAGGTCGTGCAGTGAACTCTTGGTTGGCACAGTCCAGGCGCTAGTCCACTCTGCTATAGGGTCACTTAAAGAAGGGGTAGGACCCAGCCTCCCCATGCACCATCTCTGTCTGGACCTACAGATGCAGGACATTTATTCTGGCTAAAGAGACAAAAATCAATCTTATAGCCTAATTGCCTCTTTTTTTTTTTTAGATGGAATCTCACTCAGTTACCCAGCCTAGATGGAATGCAGTGACACAATCTCAGCTCACCGCAACCTCCACTTCCTGGGTTCAAGTGATTCTCTTGCCTCAGCCTCCTGAGTAGCTGGCATTACCGGCGTGTACCACCACAACCAGCTAATTTTTATATTTTTAGTAGAGACGGAGTTTCACCATTTGGCCAGCCTGGTCTCAAACTCCTGACCTCAAGTGATCTGCCTGCCTTGGCCTCCTAAAGTGCTGGCATTATAGGTATGGACCACCATGCCCCACCCTAATTTCCTCATTTAAAAAAATATTTCTCTTTTTGTGGTTGAGGGGAGATAGGGCCTCTCTCTGTTATCCAGGCTGGAGTAAAGTGGCTCAATCATAGCTCACCTCAGCCCTGAAATCCTTGGCTAACTGGATCCTCCTGCTTCAGCCTCCCCAGTAGCTCGTACTACAGGCATGAGGCACCAAGCCTGGTTAATTCTGTTTACTTTTTTTGGAGACAGGGTCCCACTGTGTTGCCAGGGTGATCTCCTGGGCTCAACAATCCTGCCGCCTTGGCCTCCCATGTAGTTGGAACTACAGGCATGAGCCCCTGTGCCAGTCCTAATTTCCTATTTTTTTTTTTTTTTTTTTTTTGAGACAGAGTCTCACTCTGTCCCCCAGGCTGGAGTGCAATGGTATGATTCTGGTTCACTGCAACTTCTGCCACCTGGGTTCAAGCGATTCTCCTGCCTCAACCTCCCAAGTAGCTGGGATTAAAGGTGCCTGTCACAGTGCCTGGCTAATTTTTGTATTTTTAGTAGAGATGGGGTTTCACCATCTTGGCCAGGCTGGTCTTGAACTCCTGACCTTGTGATCCATCCACCTCGACCTCTCAAAGTGCTGGGATTACAAGCATGAGCCACTGCGCCCAGCTTTTTTTTTTTTTTTTCCTAAAGTGGAGTTTCACTCTTGTCGCCCAGGCTGGAGTGCAATGGTGTGACCTTGGCTTGCTGCAACCTCCACCTCCTGAGTTCAAGCAATTCTCCTGCCTCAGCCTCCCGAATAGCTGGGACTACAGGTGCCCATGACCACGCCAAGTTAATTTTTGTATTTTTAGTAGAGATGGGGTTTTGTCATGTTGGCCAGACTGTTCTGGAACTCCTGACTTCAGGTGATCCCCCTGCCTCAGCCTCCCACAGTGCTGGGATTACAGGAGTGAGCCACTGTGCCTGGCCCTAATTTCCTAATTTTTCTTTTCTTTTCTTTTTTTTTATTCCAACTAACCCTGAGAGATTTTTTTAAAGAATGTCCTCATTTTTAAGGTAAGGCAACTAAAGTCCAGAGACAGCACTGAATCCCCCAGAAACACAGAGTAAGCCGCTGGCAGAACCGGGACCATCATCCAGGCTTCCTGATACCCTAGCGCCTTCTACCTTGAAAGCCCAGGGGTTCTGCGGCGACTGAACTCTCCAGGGTGGGGGAAGCTACAGGAAGCAGTGAGGGAGTCCTGTTTTCCAGCCCAGAGGGGTGGGCCCAGGATGGCCACCACCCTCCCTCTTGATTTTGCAGAGACCGTCCCTAGCTGTGAATGAGACAGAATTGGGACCGGGAAGAGGGTCTAACCGCTGTGATGATGTCCTGGGTCTTGAGAGCGATGTGCTGGACCCCGGCGCCCCCGTTATACTCCACATATTCCTGGGGGAGGGAAACAAGGACACCACTGTCATTTGCCCCATCACCCACATCCCTGACCCAGCAAGCGCTTTCAGACCTCTTCCCTGCTCTCCCTCCCCCAGCTGGGGCGGCCTCACCTGGATCTGGGACTTCTTCTTGCCGGGCGCTGGCTCATTGATGGGCATCTTGATGGACTCCTCATAGTTGGCCACCACAATGGATCGCAAAGAGCTGTATTCCGTGTGCACCTGTGTGTCATCCACGGACCAGAAGCGGTGGAACTGCAGGTTTTTCAGGTACCTATAGGGTTGGCGGCGGAACACATCTGCTCCGAGCACCTCCTGGGACAGCCTCCACCACCCCATCCCCACCTTCCAGAATCTGTCCCTGAGCAGGCTCCAGAAAGGAGACGCCACTGCCATCATACCAATCAGAGACTTAGATTTTTATTGCTTGAGACAGAGTCTCACTCTGTTGCCCAGGCTGGAGTGCAGTGGTGCGATCTCGGCTCACTGCAGCCTCCATCTGCAGGCTCAATGCTCCTTCCACCTCAGCCTCCCAAGTAGCTGGGACTATAGGCATGTGCCATCACACCTGCCTAATTTTTTTTTTTGAAACTGAGTTTTGTTCTTCTCACCCAGGCTGGAGTGCAGTGATGCAATCTTGGCTCATTGCAACCTCCACCTCCTGGATTCAAGCAATTCTCCTGTCTCAGCCTCCCAAGTAGTTGGGATTATCCCAACAGGCGTGCACCACCACGCCCAGCTAATTTTTTTGTATTTAGTAGAGATGGGGTTTTACCATGTTGATCAGGCTGGTCTGGAACTTCTGACTGCAGGTGGTCCACCTGCCTCGGCCTCCCAAAGTGCTGGGATTACAGGCGTGAGCCACCATGCCCAGCCATATTTTTTGTAGAGACAGGATCTTGCTATGTTGCCCAGACTGGTCTTGAACCCCTGGGTTCAAGCCATCCACCTACGTCAGCCTGCCAAGGTGTTGAGATTCCAAATATAAGCTATCATGCCCAGCTTAGATTTGTATCTTTATGATGACACTATTCCTTCAGGTGGAGGTGTCTTGGAACGAAACACATACAGGAGAGCAAGCCTCCCTCAGATGGAAGTAAAGTGCTTTGAGAAAACGGCCCTTGCTCGGGACTTGGACAGGGGTGCTGTCTGGGTGGTGGCAGCCTTCCTCTAAGGCTCCCTGGACTGTGTTGCCCCCAGGATTCCTCAGAGGAAAGGCCTGTGGGTTGTTTTGGGCCTTAAGTCCACTGGTCTCCATGTTGACAGTTTTACAGTAAATAAACCCATCAGTGGCCTCAGGCTAACTCCCATTATCTTGTGCTGTATTTCCCCCTTTATTTTATTATTATTTTTGTTTGAGACGGAGTCTCGCTCTGTCACCCAGGCTAGAGTGCAGTGGTGCGATCTCAGCTCACTGCAATCTCCGCCTCCTGGGTTCAAGCGATTCTCCTGTCTTGGCCTCCCAAGTGCTGTGACTACAGACGTGCACCACCACACCCAGCTAATTTTTGTATTTTTATTAGAGATGGGGTTTCACCATGTTGGTCGGGCTAGTTTTGAACTCCTGACCTCAGGTGATTCACCCACCTTGGCCTCCCAAGACTGAGATTACAGGCGTGAGCCACCGCACCCAGCCTATTTTATTTTATTTATTTTTTTGACACAGAGTCTCGCTCTGTTGCCCAACATCCACCTCCCTTCAAGCAATTCTCCTGCCTCAGCCTCTTGAGTACCTGGAATTACAGGTGCCTATCACCACACCCAGTGAGTTTTTGTGTTTTTAGTAGAGATGGGGTTTCATCATGTTGGCTAGGCTAGTATTGAACTCCTGACCTCAAGTGATCCTCCCACCTCGGCTTCCCAAAGTGCTGGGAGTACAGGTGTGAGCCACTGTGCCCAGTCTTATTTTCCACCTGAGTGCAAGGACCAGGGAGTGGGCCAGTTTGCCATGGGGACCCGTCATCTTCACGCAGAGGGAGAGGGCCAGGGTCTCACCATTCAGAGGCTGACGCCATCTCCTGATCAGGCTGGTTTCCTACAATGTGGTCGATAACCTTGAGACTGCATTTGGGCCTGGGGAAGGGAAGAAGATGGGGGTGAGAAGGTGGCTACCTCCCTTCTCCACGACCCTCAATAATAATAGCTCACACTTCTGTTTTTGGCGTTTTATTTTTTTCTAGAGATGAAGTCTCTGCAAAAGAGAGACTCTTTTGTTGCTCAGCCTGGTCTTAAACTCTGAGGCTCAAGCGACCCTCCTGTTTCAGGCTCCCAAAGCGCTGTTATTATAGGTATGAGCCACCATGCCCGGCCTCACACTTACGTAGCATTTACCATGGGCCAGATATTTTGTCAACTCACATACTATTACGGTCCCCATTTTGCAAATGAAGAAACTGAGGCCGAGAGAGATGAAGCGACTTGCCCGGAGTGAAACAGCTGTGAAGTAACAGAGCTGGGATTTGAACCTGGGGAAGTTTGGTTGCAGAGGTCATGGTCTCATGTCCTCACCCCTGAGGACTTCTAGGAATTCCCTAGCCGGCTCCACTCTGCCCCATCACACATGCCCAAGGGACATGGAGGAAGCGGGCATTAACTTCTCACAGCACCTCGGGGTTTTCCACCCACCTCTGCCCCGAGGGACACTCACAGTTGAGGAAGTAGGGGGTCCATGAACACTGGGGCCTCATATCCAGGCAAGAATCGGCCGGCGTAGCTCATCTTCTCCACCAGGGTGTGTGTGATGTCCCCAAACTACATTTGGAAAACAGCCCGGCTCGGCCCCTGGGCACCCATCCCCGCCCAGGACAGAGCACACTGCATGGTACTAACATAGCTTCCAACCCGCAGCTGACCCTAACTGGATGCGTGATCCTGGACAAGTCACTTCTCTTTTCTGAAATGCATTGCAATCTGTCGCTTGTTTGTGAGTTTCTGTGAGAGCGGGGACACTTTTGCTCATCACGGTGTTCCCAGTGCCAAGTTCAGTGCCTGGCACAGGGAGGTGCTCAGTGAAGTACGTCCTTCATTTATTTAAGTAGGTCAACTGGATGGAGAACATGGGGGGCACTGGCTTAAAGGATTCTGAAGAGCTCCGTCAGCCACTTTAACCATCTTTTTTTTGTCGTAGTTTGAGATGGAGACTCTGTTGCCCAGTCTGGAGTGCAGTGGTGCGAACTTGGCTCACTGTAACCTCTGCTTCCTGGGTTCAAGCGATTCTCCTGCCTCAACCTCCCGAAGTAGCTGGGATTATAGGCGTGCACTACAACACTAGGCTAATTTTTGTGTTTTTAGCAGAGATGGGGTTTCAACACGTGGCTAGGCTGGTCTCGAACTCCTGACCTCAGGTGATCCGCCTGCCTTGGACTCCCAAAGTGCTGGGATTACAGGAGTAAACCGCTGCGTCCAGCACTTTATTTTTATTTTTTGTTGCCCAGGCTGGAGTGCAGTTGCATGATCTTAGCTCACTGCAGCCTCCACCTCCCAGGTTCAAGCGATTTTCCTGCCTCAGCATTCCGTGTAGCTGGGACTACAGGCACGTGGCACCACACCTGGCTAACTTTTGTGTTATTTTTTTACTAGAGACAGAGTTTTACCATGTTGGCCAAGATGGTCTTGAAGTCTTAACCTCAAGTGATCCCCCTACTTCAGCCTCTCAAAGTGCTGGGATTACAGGCACACTTCAACCATTTTCATGTTCAATTTAATTTTTTAACTTTTATTTATTTAATTATTTTTTTGAGACAGAGTCTCACTCTGTTGCCCAGGCTGGAGTGCAGTGGCACAACCTTGGCTCACTGCAACCTCCATCTCTCAGGTTCAAGCGCTTCTAGCCTCCCAAGTAGCTGGGATTACAGGTGCCTGCCACCATGCCTGTATAATTTTTGTATTTTTAGTAGAGACAGTGTTTCACCATGTTGGCCAGGCTGGTCTTGAACTCCTGACCTCAGGCGAGCCACCCGCTCACCTGAAATCATAGGCTGGAATTATAGGCACACTTTATGTTTAATTTTATTGTTTAAAATTTTTATTTATTTATTTTTGAGGCAGAGTCTCACTCTGTCAACCAGGCTGGAGTGCAGTGATGCAGTCACAGCTCACTCCAGCCTCCACCTCTTAGACTCAAGCAATCCTCCCACCTCAGCCTCCCATGTAGCTGGGACCACAGACATGCTCCATCATGCCTGGCCAATTAAAAAATTTTTTTTGTAGAGATGGGGTCTCACTTTGTTGCCCAGGCTGGTCTCAAATTCCTGGGCTCAAGCAGTCCACTTGCCTTGGCTTCCCAAGGTGCTGAGATTACAGGTGTGAGACACTGCACCTGATCTATTTATTTTTTATTTATTTGTATTTTTAATTTTTGTAGAGATGGGGTCTCCCTATGTTGCCCAGGCTGGTCTCGAACTTTTTTTTTGTTTCTATCATCTCAGCTACTAGAAATCGAACTTTTGGCCTCAAGTGATCCTCCTGCCTCAGCCTCCCAAACTGCTGAGATTATATGTGTGAACCACTGTGCACAGCCCTTTATGTTGAATTTAATCTCAAGGAGGTAAGACCTGTGATTGTCTCCGTATTACAGTAACACGGGAGCTAAACAGAATCGGTCATCTTTGCTGAGTGTCTAATGTGCCAGGCACTGTTCTAAGTGCTATACACAAATGACCTATTTTTGAGATGGAGTCTCATTCTGTTGCCCAGGCTGGAGTACAGTGGTACAATTTTGGCTCACTGCAACCTCTGCCTCCTGGATTCAAGCGATTCTCCCACCTCAGCCTCCCAAGTAGCTGTGACTACAGGTGTGCACCACTGTAGTCACTGGCTAATTTTTGAATTTTATTTTTAGTAGAGGTGGGGTTTCACCATGTTGCCTAGGCTGGTCTCAAACTCCTGACCTCCCCCCCTCCCCACGCACCCCGGCCCCGCCAGCCACCCACAGTGCTGGGATTATGGGCTTGAGACACCGCCCCTGGTCCTCACCGGATCCTTATGATGACCCTATGAGGAATCATACCTGAAGATATTGAGCTTGCAGCCTTAAAAAGGAATGAGATTATGTCCTTTGCAGGGACATGGATGGAGCTGGAAGCCGTTATCCTCAGGAAACTAACACAGGAACAGAAAACCAAACACCATGTTCTCACTGTAAGTGGGAGCTAAGGCTGGGCGTGGTGGCTTATGCCTGTAATCCCAGCACTTTGGGAAACCAAAGAGGGCCAATTATGAGGTCAGGAGTTGAAGACCAGCCTGACCAACATGGTGAAACCCCGTCTCTACTAAAAATACAAAATTTAGCCGGTTGTGGTGGCGGGCACCTGTAATCCCAGTTACTCAGGAGGCTGAGGCAGGAGAATCACTTCATCCTGGGAGGCAGAAGTTGCAGTGAGCCGAGTTCGTGCCATTGCACTCCAGCCTGGGTGGCAGATCAAGACTCTGTCTCAAAAATAATAATAATAATTAGTGGGAGCTAAATGATGAGAAAACATGGACACATCATCAGGAACAACAGACGCTAGGGCCTGTCAGAAGGCGGAGGTGGGGGAGGGAGAGCACCAGGAAGAGCAGCTAATGGATACTGGGCTTAATACCTAGGTGATGGGCTGATCTGTGTGGCAAACCACCATGCACACGTTTCCCTATGTAACAAACTTGCACTTCTTGCACATACATCCCAGGACCTAAAATAAACGTTGAAGAAAACAGCTGGGCACGGTGGCTCACGCCTGTAATCTCAGCCTTTGGGAGGCTGAGGTGGGTGGATCACTTGAGGTCAGGAGTTTGAGACTAGCCTGACCAAACTTTTAGTAGAGATGGTGAAATCCCATCTCTACTAGAAACACACAAATTAGCTGGGTGTGGGCACAGATGCCTCTAATCCCAGCTACTTGGGAGGCTGAGACAGGAGAATCACTTGAGCCCAGGAGGCAGAGGTTGCAGTGAGCCGAGATCGCACCACTGAACTCCAGCCTGGGTGACAGAGTGAGACTCTCTCAAAAAAATGGAAAAAAATTGAAGAAAAAAAAAGATGCTGGTGAGGCCCTGGAAAGTTAAGTGCATGTCCCAGGCCACACAGGTGCTCCAGTTCCAGTCCTTGCTCATTTAAACAGAGTCAGAGAGGTAGAGTGACATGCCCAAAGTCACACAGCTGTGTGGGAACCAATGCGCCCGGACCCCATCCTTCTCCCTTCTTCAGAGCCCCTGCCTTCACCCGCTTGCTGTCATCCTCCCACCCTGGGAGGAAGGGAAGCCTGGGAGGAATGGCTGGTGGCTCCTGCAGCCCCCATGCACTGGCCAGGCATGACGGGGTACAGACTTGAGGGCTAATGTTTGTGTTCCAAGGCCCGTGGGTGGGATGGTTTGATGGTCAGCTGTGGGGCTTCTGGCATCTCAGTGGTGCCGACAGCTGGAGGGGTGGGGGCACCAAAGCGAACTCACCGTCTGCAGCACAGCAAACTTCACCTTCCCAAACTTGTCTTCCTCTACCCAGGGCTCCTGCACGATTTTGGCGCCCCGTTCCCGTGCTTTCTGCAGAGAAGTTGGGATTGGGGAGGTGAGGGTGGGAATCTTCCAGAACCCTCGCCTGCTGCTCCTGCCGGGTGGCCCCTGCATGTTCCGGCAGGCCCCTCCAGTTTCTCCAGCCCCAGGTAGGAAACCCCCGCCCCAGGTTCGCAGGTAGGAACCCCAGCCAGCTTCAGCCATTACCCCCAATACTCATCCTCATTTGGCAAGTAGGGAAGCTGAGGCTGAGGCCCAGAATTGGGGCTATGGGAGAAACAAGGTAGGGATGGGGGGTCTGTCCTGCCTCTGCTAACTCCCCCTGTGACCCTTCCCCCTCTCTAGTCCTCAATTTCCCCACCTGTAGAAAGAATTGTTGGATGAGAATAATAATATTAAGGAGATTCCTGCATTTATTTAGCAAAACTGAACAGCATGCGGTGCTTAAATCATTCTCCAGGCTCTGTTCTAGATTCCAACCTCATTCGTCCTCATGACAACATCATGCAGAGGATACTACCGTCATCTCCGTTCTCTAGGTGAGGATGTTGAAGCACAGAGACATTAAGTCACTTGCCTGAAGTCACACACCTGAGATTCAGTCCTGGAGAGTCTGGCTCTGGCACCCACACTCTAAATCTCTAGGCCACCTCTTGGGTACAGTGTTTGGTTTAGAGTTGTGCTCAAGAAACGGTAATTCTGAGGCTGGATGAAGTGGCTCATGCCAACACTTTGGGAGGCTGAGGTGGGCAGATCACTTGAGGTCAGGAGTTCGAGACCAGCCTGGCCAACATGATGAAACCACGTCTTTACTAAAAATACAAAAATTAGCTGGGTGTGGCAGGCACCTGTAATCCCAGCTACTCCAGCGGCTGAGGCAGGTGAATCCCAGGTGGTGGAGGTTGCAGTGAGCTGAGATCGTGCCATTGCACTCCAGCCTGGATGACAGAGTGAGACTTTGTCTCAAAAAAAAGAAAAGAAAAAGGAAATGGTAATTCTGATCTAATTTCTTTTTTGACAACCCAGCTGTGGTTAGCCTCATCTGGTAGCTGTGGAAACTGAGGCTCAGAGAGAAAGAGGACACATGCAAGAGGACAGGGCACCCCGGGAGCCCTTACTTATGTCCAGATGTGCATCACACCAGCATCTGGGCTTGTCACTGTGATACGGCAGTGTCCCTCCAGTCCCCATGGCAGACAGAGGCCTTCCTCCCCAGTCTGCCCAGGTGCATTCTCACCTGCACGATGTAGTCACAATCTTCCACCTCAAACGTGATGTCCTTCACTCCATCGCCATGTTTCACCAGGTGATCGCCCATCTCTGAGGTCAGCAGGGAGGGGATGGCACCGGAGTCTAGGTCCCCTTACCTGGCTTTCAGTCTCCATCCAGGCCCTGAACCAGAGCCCACCCACAGAGCCATGCATCCACCCCTCCCCTCCCCCAGACCCCTCCCTCAGAGCCATGCGTCCACCCCTCCCCGAACCCAGACCCCTCCCCGAGAGCCATGCGTCTACTCCTCCCCGGACCCCTCACCTTTGTTCCAGGGGTTGAGCGCTGAGGAGAGGACAAACACAATCTAAGATACAGAGCAGAAGCGGCTGTGGCTGCTGGATGGGAGGAGCATGGGGAGGTGCGCCCATCCCCTCCTCCCCGAGACACCCCTGGTGGAGCAGAAGGACTCCTGGATCTGGGTTCTAGCTCCTTCTCTGCCTTAGTTTCCCACTCTGGTCCTGAGGGATGGGGCTTTCAGCCATGCCAGACTAGCCCCCAAACTCGGATCCGCAGAGGAACTGCTGGGTCAGGTCTCCCTTGGGGAGAGAACTTCAGGGACCCCATAGGTCAGGGCACTGCTTAAAATTTCTCCTCTGATGTCCTAGGTTTTCTGAGCACCTGTGGGGTCAGTGTTGGGTCAGGCTAAGGAGGAGGCGAAACTAGGAAGGACGCTGGTGTGTAGCTGTACAAAGGTAACAGTGGAGGGGTCGTGGGAGCTGGACTATGTGTTTTTTGTCTGTCTGTGTGTGTGTGTGTGTGTGTGTGTGTGTGCGTGTGTGTGTGTGTTTTGAGATGGAGTCTCACTCAGTTGCCCAGGCTGGAGTGCAGTGGCCTGATCTTGGCTTGCTGCAACCTCTGCCTTCCGGCTTCAAGTGATTATCCTGCCTCAGCCTCCCAAGTAGCTGGGATTATAGGCGCCCATTACTACACTTGGCTAATTTTTGTATTTTTAGTAGAGATGGGGTTTCACCATGTTGGCCAGGTTGGTCTGAACTCCCAATATCAGGTGATCCGCCCTCCTCAGCCTCCCAAAGTGCTGGGATTACAGGTGTGAGACGCTGTGCCCGGCCTGTTTTCTATTTTCTTTTTTTTTTTTTTTTTTGTGATAGAGTCTCACTCAATTGTCCAGGCTGGAGTGCAGTAGATCGCTGTGGTGTAATCATGACTCATCACAACCTCAACCTCCCAGGCTTAGGTGATCCCCCACCTCAGCCTCCCAAGTAGCTGGGACTACAGACGCACGCTACCACATCTGACTACTTTTTTTGAATTTCTTGTAGAGACAGAGTCTTGCCATGTTGTTTAGGCTGGTCTCAAACTCTTGGGCTCAAGTGATCGCCTGCCTTTGCCTCCCAAAGTGCTAGGATTACAGGCACGAGCCATTGCACCTGACCAGGCTGAACTATGTGGATGTAGCCAAGCTCCGCCTCCTGAGGTGGGGGTGTGACTGCCTGAAGAGGGGCCCTCGTGCTCTAATCACACTGAGGTGCTGTAAGGGCTACAGTCTTGGGGTGGAGGGACCCGGCCTCCTGGATGGCAGGGGCATGGGTGTCCTAGGGTGGGGACTCACCTTCCCTTGTTTGATGACATGGCTGACTACCTCCCGGGAGCCAGTCTCTAGGCCCCTGTAGGCTAGAGGTTCGAAGCCCATCTTGGTGCAGTAGAATGACGCGGCCTGAATCACAGGGTTGCAGCAGGGTTCATGAGGGTTGAGGGGCCAGCCTGGGGGACCCCAAGAAGGGAGCTCCCGCCCCCCCCCTCAGCCTGCCTGCCCTATTGCCCCACGTGCAGAGACCCTCCTGGGAAGAGAGCCTGCTGCCTGCACATTTTGCTGACAGATAACTTTCCCGATGGTGTAATTAGGATTCAGAGTATCTGGTCCCACCCCTGGCCCTGACCCTCCCCTCCCAAGGGCCAATAACAGACCCTGCTGGAGGCCTGCCCCGCTCAGGGGGCCCTCTGGCCTGCCCTCTGCGTACTCCCACATGTTGCTCCAGCTTGTACCTGCTTGGCGTTGCCAACCCAGAAGGTCACAGAGTGGAAGTGGAGGAATCGGCCTCTCTCAGGCTGCAGAAGGAGAGAAGAGGTGAGGCTGAGTCCCTGAAAGGGAGTCTAGAAAACTGCGGGTGGAGTGATGTCCCCTAGCCACCCGCCTTACCCCAGCCTCAACCACAGAATTCAGGAGCAGCGGAACCCCATGCAGTCTTGCCAAGCCTCAAAAGAGATTTCTCATGTTCAAGCTGATCTCCTGGGTGTTTTGGATGGGGAAGCCCCCTCAGGAGGCCTGCCAAGGTTTCACACAGGGAAATTGCCTTTTGTTGCAGCAATATGGATTTAAGTTAGTCCTTAGAAAGAACTTCCAGATGGCATTAAGAGATTGGCATGCATTTAAGTTGGGGTACAAATTTTTTTTTTTGTTTTTTGAGATGGAGTCTTGGTCTATCACCCAAACTAGCGTGCAGTGGCATGATCTCGGCTCACTGCAACCTCTGCCTTCTGGGTTCAAGCAATCCTCAGCTTCAGGTGATCCTTCAGCTTCTGCCTCTGCCTCCCAAGGAGCTGGGGTTATAGGCGTGTGCTACCACACCTGGCTAATTTTTGTATTTTTAGTAGAGACGGGGTTTCCTCATATTGACCAGGCTGGTCTCCCTCAAGTATTCGCCTGCCTTGGCCTCCCAAAGCACTGGGATTACAGACATGAGACACTGCACCCGGCCAGGGTACAAGTTTGATAGGAGGGTGAGGTTGAGTCCAGTTCATTCTGGGGGAACCCGGGGGTAAAATGGGGTGTGTAGGTATGGACATCACATATCCACCCCAGTCCTTCCTCTTCTGCTCTCTGCTAAAACCCCAGTCTCCCTGCACTCTGACCCCCTTCTAGACCCAGGCCCCGACATTTCCCACATTACCCCTGCTTACCTTTGCCCCTTTGTCACTGTAAGTCGTCTAAGGAGAAAGAGAAGGACAGTGAGAGTTGGAGGCTCCAACACAGGTGCTTCTGGAAGTGTCATTGAAGGTGTCCTGCCCAAGGGGAGACTGCCAGCCTTGGCACTTACCATGACTGATCTTGGTCAAACCTGCTGCTGGGAAGATTGGGACAAGAAGCCTGGCAGGTGCCGGGCTGGAGTATTTAACCCCAAGCAGGCCCCGCCCCGGCCTCCCGGCCTACCTGGGGGATGGGGGGCAGCTGAACCCAGCTCAGGAAAGTCCTGGGCCTGGCGGCCTCTGATCCAGCCGCAGCCTCATTGAACAGGGTGATGTTGCCAGGCCCAGAGATGGAGAGTGACGTCCACTAGCTTAGCAGGAGGCAGAGCCAGGGCCAGAAGTCAAGGGCAAGCTTTTCCAGGACGCTGGGACTGTGACCATTACTGCCCAGAATCCAAAGCTCAGAAGCCAAAGGCTGGATAGAGTACAGTCGCAGCTCCAGAACTCTTGCCTGGAGGAAATTTAAGGGGGAATTTGGAGACTGGCCCTGAAGTCCTGTTTGCATAGCAAGTGTGTGGTTTCTATTCAGGATGAAAGCCTTGTATTCTTTTTTTTTGTGAGATGGAGTCTCTCTCTGTCTCCCAGGCTGAAGTACAATGGCGCAGTCTCAGCTCAATGCAATCTCCGTCTCCCAGGCTCAAGCAATTCTCCTGCCTCAGCCTCCTGAGTAGCTGGGATTACAGGCTCATGCCATCACGCCTGGCTGATTTTTGTATTTTTAGTAGAGATGGGGTTTCACCAGGTTGGCCAGGCTGGTCTCAAACTCCTGACCTTGTGATCCACGCGCCTCAGCCTCCCAAAGTGCTGGGATTACAAGGGTAAGCCGCTGCGCCTGGCCAAAAGCCTTGTATTCTATAGCTGTTAGAGGCATGGAAGGAGAAGATTTGCATCCTGGCTTTGCTACATACTGTATGACTTGGGAAAGTCACCATATCCCTCCGTGCCTCATCAGTGAGACAGGAGCAAGGATAGTGTGGTGGGGACTAAAGGAAAGAAGCATGCTCTTTGGAATAGGGTCTGACACACGGGGCACTCTCTCTCTGCATGGGTTATAATTAATCGGGGTACTTAGAGAACAGTCCGAAGCCATGAGCTTAGCAAGTGGCAGGGAAGAACTGGAACATGAACCAGACTCTTCTAACTCCAGGGCCCACAGTTTAAATTGCTAGATTGCCTTCTATACAAACGGGAGATATGGCTGTCCGCACCAGATGGGGAAACCGAGGCCTGGAGAGGTGAGCACCTGACTGCCAGGCCTTGGAACTGGTAAGAGCAGAGCCCCCGACTCTGGCCTGTTTGATTCTGAGGTTGGATCTCATTGCACCAGTGCAGACCACTTCTCCCTCCTTTTCTCTATTTTCTGGACCATTCAGGAGGCAGGCGAGGTGGTCCCACCTTCTTATTCTGCCCCTCCTGGGCCTCCCCAGTGTGCCCCCAGTGTCCACCTCAGCTCCTAGAGTCTAAATTTCCAACTGGGGGCCGTGCCTGGTGGCTCATGCCTGTAATCCCTGCACTTTGGGAGGCTGAGGTGGGTGGATCACTTGAGGTTAGGAGTTCAAGAGCAGTCTGGGCAACATGGTGAAACCCTGTCTCTACTAAAAATACAAAGATTAACCATGCAGGTGCATGTTTGTAGTCCCAGCAACTCAGGAGGCTGAGGGAGGAGAATCACTTGAACCAGGAGGCAGAGATTGCAGTGAGTAGGGATCACACCACTGCCCTGCAGCCTGGGTGATAGAGTGAGACTCTGTCTCAAAATAAAAAAATTTCCAACTGGGAAAACTTGAGTGGAAGTGGCCCAGGGTGGAGGTCACAGGCCAGAAGGTTCTCCTTCAGGAGAAGAGCTCAGTGTAGCCCACCCACCCCCTCCAGGCCAGCAGGAACATTTTGTCCCCTTGCTTGTTGTCACCAAATCAACCCCCCACCCCTGGAGCCTGGCTTATATCCTAAGCACAAAGGCCAATGTTTACTGACTCAAGGAAGCCTGTTGTCAACAGCAGTGGGGTGCAAAGGCTGGCAGGCATCTGGCTCAGCTGGACAGAGGCAGGAACTCTGTCCCCAACACTGTGGGTCTCAGTCCCATGCTGGGTGCACCCCTCCTTGCCATTCCCATGTGTGGGCAGAGAGCAGGGAGGGGAGCCTGCAGGGCCCAGTATCTGGAGTCCCCTCCCCGATGCACCCTGTTCAGGCTGGGCTCCACTGGATAGCAGATCAGCAGTGGCTGGGCGTGACCGTCTCTTCTTTATGCCAGACCATGCAGAGGTGGGTTCCAGAGGCCTTGCTCAAGGAGCGCAGTGATCAGATGGGTGCATGGGACTCATCCCTCACCTCCCTGATGTGCAGAAAAGCACTCACCTAGCTGCACCTGTAGTCCCAGCCACTCAGGAGGCTGAGGTGGGAGGATCACTTGAGTCTAGGATTTCAAGGCTACAGTGAGCTATGATCACGCCACTGCACTCCAGCCTGGACAGTAGGGTGAGAACTTGTATCAAAAAGAAATAAAGCAGGGTGCGGTGGCTCACACCCATAATCCCAGCACTTTGAGAGGCTGAGGTGGGAGGATCACTTGAGGTTAGGTGTTCAAGACCAGCCTGGCCAACATGGTGAAACCCTGTCTCTACTAAAAATACAAAAATTAGCTGGAAATAGTGCTGGGTGCCTATAATTCCAGCTACTTGGGAGGCTGAGGCAGGACTGAGGCAAGAGAATCACTTAAACCCAGGAGGTGGACTTTTTGCAATGAGCCGAGATCGTGCCACTGCACTCCAGCCTGGACTCCAAACAAACAACAAAGACACTGAACAAGTCTCAGTAACTGACGGTTCTTACTACAGTGTTTGTCTATTTGAGCTTCTCAGGAAAAAAAAAACATGAAAAAGGGGCAATCTCTAAATGGAGACACACTTTCAGGGTTTTAAAAAGCAGTTTTTAGTTGCTAATGAGTGCTTGTGAAATCGGACAGCTGACCCGTAGAGTCATGATTTTCTAGCTGATGGGGATCTTTTTAAGGACGTCCACCTGGACTCTGAAACTGACAGACTTAAAGGGCTTAGGAAAGCCTGCTTCGCTCTTAGCCATGAAACACAGCCTCTTGGCTTAGCTGCTGCAGAAGAAAATCCTGAATTCACAAATTCTAGTTGCCCAAACCTGACCCCAAGCTGAAAGCTCTGCATTGGGGGGATCGTTTGAGCCCAAGGGGTCGAGGCTGCGGTGTGAGCTATGATCACACTGATACACTCCAGCCTGCCAGGGTGACAGAGCGAGACCCTGTCTTAAAAAAAAAAAGGCTGAAACCTGATGCTGTCTGCTGTGAGCTGTTTCATTCTCAGCATGATCTCTGCCAACCTAAAAAAATGGGCAAAATTTCTCCATTCAACAGAAAGGACTTTAACTCTAGGACCCTGGCAGGTTAGAGACATCCCTCCGCGGGGACATACACTGTGCAAACATCATGGATGCTGCTGGACAGTCTGGGTCACTTGCAGATGTCCATGACAAAGAATTGCTCTTCGATGGGACCATTTACATTGGGCTGCTGTTCAGCTCTGCATTTCTTTCTTTCTTTTTTTGAGACAGAGTTTCACTCTTGTTTCCCAGGCTGGAGTGCAATGGTGCAATCTTGGCTCACTGCAACCTCCACCTCCCGGATTCATTCGATTCTCCCACCTCAGCCTCCCGAGTAGCTGGGACTATAAGCATGGACCACCAAGCCCGGCTACTTTTGTGTTTTTACTAGAGACAGGGCTTCACCATGTTGATCAGGCTGGTCTTGAACTCCTGACCTCAAGTAATCCACTCTCCTTGGCCTCCCTAGTGCTGGGATTATAGGCATGAGCCACTGAGCCCAGCCGTTTTTTTTTTTTTTTTTTTAAAGACAGTCTTGCACTGTCGCCCAAGCTGGAGTGCAGTGGCATGATCTCAGCTCACTGCAACCTCTACCTCCCAGGTTCAAGTGATTCTCTCTCCCCAGCCTTCCAAGTAGTTAAGACTACAGGTGCGTGCCACCACACCGAGCCAATTTTTGTATTTTTTTTACAGAGACGAGGTTTCCCCATCTTGGCGAGGCTGGTCTCGAATTCCTGGCCTCAGGGGATCCTCCTGCCTCCGCCTCCCGAAGTGCTGGGATTACAGGCATGAGCCACTGCGTATAGGGCCAACTCTCCACTTCTGGTGCTGATTGCTTCCTAACTTGTGATTCTTGCCCAAAGCAGTAAGTCGAGAGAGGGTGCATCACAGGGACCCAGATCCTTCCACCCACTCCTGCAGGCTGGTCTCCTGCACCCCCCACTGAATGTTGCACTGCAGTTGATCATTGTGTCTGAATTTCTCGATTCATTGCAATTTGCAACAAGGGACATATAGCCTGATTCTCCTTCCTGCATCTTTGTCCTGGTGTACTCACCTTAGTAAGGCTGTCTGGTAAATGCAACTGTCCCGCAGAAGGCATTTTTTTCTATGCTGCTCACTAGAGAAACAATCAGGATGTAAAGGTTTGGTGGAGAGCCGGGAGCCGTGGCTCACATCTGTAATCCCAGCACTTCAAGAGGCTGAGGTGGGAGGATCCCTTGAGCCCAGGAGTTCAAGGTTACTGTGAGCTGTAATTGCACCACTGCACTTCAGCGTGGCTACAGAGTGAGACCCTGTCTCTAAAAGAAAAAAGAAAAAGAAAAGGGTGGAGAGTTATATAAACCCATTTTGGACATTTGTGAAAATTGAGGATTTTGCCCTTTCCACTTCCTGAACCTGAAATGAAGAATTCTGGTTAAGTTGTATACAAATGCTTTTCTGCCAGGCGCAGTGGCTCACGCCTGTAGTCCCAGCAGTTTGGGAGGCTGAGGCAGGCGGATCACCTGAGGTCAGAAGTTCCGCCTGACCAACCAGACCAATATGGTGAAACCCTGTCTTTAAAAAAAAAAAAAAAGCTTTTCTGTGAAAAGTTTTTGTCCCCTCTTGGCTGGGTGTGGTGGCTCATGCCAGCACTTTGGGAGGACGAGACAGGCAGAGCACTTAAGATCAGGAGTTTGAGACCAGCCTGGCCAACATGGCAAAACCCTGTTTATACTAAAAATAAAATTAAAAAAAAGCTAGCTGGGCATAGTGGAGCATACCTATAATCCCAGCTACTCATGAGGGTGAGGCAGAAAAATCACTTGAACCTGGGAGGTGGAGGTTGCAGTGAGCCGAGATCGTGCCACTGCACTCCAGCCTGGGCGATAGAGCAAGAGGCAGGAGGCTGAGGCAG